TTAATTTTAAACAGCAGTCAACTTTTTTTTTTTACACTGAATATCCTCTCCTGTGCTTTCCTTTCCATTGCAGTGCAAAATACCTGCCGATTTCATTATTGTCTAGCAACTGGTAATTAGCATGGCGTTGCTATGAAAAACAGGTAAATTAGTTCCGGAGGCTGTGACTAGGTTAGTCGCCAGCAATTGATCTCTTGGGGGAGCTGAGCTTTAAAGTTCCGGCTCTGAAATATCACAGCACCACTTGGCCCTGTCTCACAGGAGGCAAACTGAGATGCTCAATACGCAGCACTGAACTGGTCCAGTCACTGGGGTACAAGCACGCTGAGGCCTACAGGCACTGAGCAATGCTCTCTTGTTTTCAAAGCAGTTTTCTTTTGCTCTCTGTGCACCTGCCTCAAAATAACCGGCAGGGTCTCTCCTGAAAGCAGAGGTGGAAGGTTTGCTGTGAGGGCCAGACCTTGTCATTTGTCAGGAGAGCGTGAAAAGGTCACGCAAGCATACGGTCTCCGCGGGAGGGTGGCAGAATCACTTGCAGCAGAGGCCTCCGTTAAGTCGCCAGGTTGTCTCGGGGCCCTTGAACTTTGCGAGAGATTGGCACGCGGCACTGAAACAGAGCGCCCTCTCCTCCTCCGGCCTGCTTCCAGAGGGCAGGGCGCTGAGAATGGAGGCGGTGTGGCGACATACACGGTCTCGTGCTCCAAGCTCCCGCAGAGCTGCCCACGTGCTGTCATCGGGAAATCATCCGAAAAGTGACCTCCCGTGCGGGAGAAGAGCGCGCACAAAGACGGGGAATCGGAAATCTCTCGGGGTAGCTGTCACGTTAGTGAGAATGTTAACGATCTCCGTAAATGAGTCCATTAAGGCCTCGAAGGGCAGCTTATACATCAGGACCCCCAAAAAGGAAACAACACGCGTTGCATATATCAACTGAGTAAATATTGCTTGGAAGCAGAACTAAATCAAGGCTGCCAACAGTACCGCTGCAGAACCAGTTCTCAGCCTGAGATAATTAAAAAGAAAGAAATAAAATGTAAACGCAGGATGAGGATTTAAGAGTAGCTCACTGCTACATTTAGCTCAGATAAACGGAGACGAGTGAGAGGAGGAAGTTATTAAGGCTTTTTAGGGCTGAGGCTCTCCTGAGGTATAGATCTGTTTCCCAACAATGCAAATCACAATCTCCCATTGGCATCTGCTGTGGCTTAGTCCCCATGTGTCTCCACACTGAACTCACAGCAGCAGACCAGAGCTGTTGCACAAGATGGCTTCATAGACGGGGGTGTTAACTGCTGCCACTGTGAATTTGTACTTTGCCAGGCATAACCTTTTTGCTTTGCTCCTTCTCATTTTAAAAGTGGACAAAAACTGTTCGCTTTTCACAGATGTAAAAACACCTGTCAGCCATTGTCTGGGAGGGCAGCGCCTGATGATGGCTGGTTATTTGGTAGGCTGGTCAAGGGGTGTGCAATCTCATTGTTTTTCAGACAGATTTCCATGCTACAACTTGTGCATTTCTACTTTCAGCAATCCAGCTTTCCTATAGGCAAGAGGGAGTCCCAGTCTGAGTCTGAGCCTTGAACAACAACAAAAAAAATAAGCCTTAAACTGTGACTTCAGGTCACAGATGATGCAGATCCAAAGTCCATCTTGTCCATTTTTTTGGTGCTCCAACATGAAAGGCATGCCAAACAAATTCAGATATTTTAATGACCAGCAAGAAACCACATGAAATGACAGGAGTGAGTGCAGAGTGATCCCAGATTTCCTCCTCTACTCCCAAGCACAACTTTTCTCACACGCACATGGGTCATTGGGACACAGAGGTAGAAAAATCCAAAACCTCAGATTTGTAATTGAAGTGTCACACATATGTGTGAAGATATGCAGGAAAACAATCCAAATCAATCAAAAATCTTTTTTTTTTCAATTTTCTTGCAGAACCTCATTCTGGGACATACCATGAAGAACTCCACTCCTCACAGCAACACTGCAACACCATTTGTCAGGTCTGGAGGACAGGAAAGAACCACAGCTGCCTACAACATCGAATAAGCCCTTAACCCTGTAGGCAAAATGCATGTAACTGGGAGGACGTGCTACGCCACCTGGCTCTGCTGTTTGTCAAATGGACGGAATATGTAAACCAGCCCCTGGAGACAAGACTCTTTGAGGTGCACTAATTGACTTTTGCCACGACACAGGGCAGCACTGTTATATATGGTCACATCAGGACACAGTGAAAACCACTATCAGTCACAGTCGGTGTGCACTGCGTAGGAGCACAGCAAAGTAAACGCAGCAATGTACACTACTGGTAGTACATTCCAACAGTGGTTCCTTGACTTTTGCTTAACCTTAGGTTAGGTTTAAAAAACACTGACCAATCCATACGACTCTACTGTTAATGTAGAACAGATAAGATATATAAAGTTTTAAGTCACAAGAATGCTCAAGCATGAACACAGATATGGCCATTTTATGCTATAATAATTCATTCCATACTATGGCATACATCTTTCCAATCCTACATGCAAAGTTCTTTAAGTGAAGCACTTTATATAGAATGTATGTAAAATATACAGTAAGTGGGTGGTTTAATATCAGATGTGGCATTTAACAAAATATTTCACAGAGAGAGATTTGGCAGTTATTTCTTCTTTAATCAACTCTTAAAATTAAGCAATCAATAATTTATTAATAATCAATAATGCATGCACCCAAATATTTTTTGTGTGTAAACTGCGATGCTATTAATCTTCAACCTAACCCTGAAAATCTTTGATTTGTAATCTAAAGTGAATTTTTTGGTACTGCCTTCAATGTAAAATGAGTTTTTTTTCCTCCTCTAATTGGTCTGGCATGACTCGTGCGTCTCACAGGCACATGGTGGAAGCCACTGTTTCAGGCTCTGAATCCCTTGGGGCTCCAATTAACTCAAGCTTATTTAGCACTTGAGTACCGTGCTTCTGAGCTCATTACAGCGAAAAGGAGACCACTTCTGTTTCTGCACCTAGAAACAAAAGCTTTTGGAATAAAACGGTAAGATTAAGTAGGCTTTTTCCAAACTTGCTGTTAGTAAAGTCTTTTCAAGACAGATGTGGAGATTTTTGTTTTAAGGACATCAGACCGAGCAAAGCCTCATGCAAACTATGATCACACTGTGCAGCTTCTAAAAACAGCCTCTTCTCAGTGCTGAGGGATAGGAAGACTTTATCTCTTCACATCAAAGATTGGGTGATTTATCAGCCTACAATGCCTCCTGAGCTCGAGTTCTGCAAAGTGACTGTGCCTCTCTGCCAAGTCACTCAATGCCCCTGCCTTCCCCTCTGCTGGCCTGAGCTCATACCTGTACACCCCATCCATTGAACTGATCCCCACAGCTCCAGCCAATGAGCTCCTAAGATCTGTAGTTTCCACAAGACTAATAAAACAAATAATTGAGCCTTCTGGGCATCACAGCCTTGTGTAAAAGACAGGTCAACGCAATGCTCTCCATACAATGACAAAAAAAGGACATGTTTATCATTCTCACGGGAGCAAACAAACAAAAAAAAGCATAACATTTTATACTCCCCTTAAATGCAAACGGCTTTGTTGATCACCATTGTTCAAGTGGTAGCAGAAGATCATATAGTCGGCACCAGAACAAACACCTGCCCCTGATCTCCATACGCTCATGGAATAGCTGGACGGCACAGTGGCGCAGTGGTCAGCATTGCTGCCTCGCAGCGCTAGGGCCCAGACGGAGCCTGCTCCTGGTGGCTGTCAGGGTGTATAACGCTGCCCTAGGTAGGACTGTCAGCCCTTCATCTGCTTGTCTATGGACAGCATGTTGCTTCACTGTACTTTTTGGACAATCAATCTGTATAAACCTATGCACATTTTGCACATATTTTATTGTTTTTACAGTGACTACGATCATCATATTTTGCACACACCAATGTATTTATTTTTATTTATTTATGTTATATTTATTTTGTATAATTTTTCATCTATTCTGATGTCTGATTTTGCTTGTCTTGGGCTGGACTGCTGGAACACATCAATTTCCCTTCGGGATCAATAAAGTCTTATCTACAGTATCTATCTAGCTTGTAAGTTTTCCCCGTGCTCGTGTGGGTTTCCTCCAGTTTCCTCCCACAGTCCAAAGACATGCTGGTAGGTTAGTTGGCTTTTGGGAAAAACCGGCCCTGGTTAGAACGTGTGAGTATCTGTGTCTGACGTGCCCTGCGATTGACCAGTGTCCAGTGGGGTGTACTTCCTAGGACTGTGTAACAAGCACAGCCAGCACCAATTAACTCCAAGTCATTCAATCTTCATTCCACACCTTTTCCCCACAACTATTTAAACCCTCTGCTCACTGCTACCAGCGCTCGGTATGAGGATTTCATCCGCCTCCTGAGCTCGCCTCGCTCTCCTTTCCTGAACCCTCTCCACCTCGTCTGGGCCCCCTCACCTACGACTCTGGCTTTGGATCTCTCGCTTCCTCTCTCTCTCGTCTCGCCCCTCTCGGATTTGTTTGCCTGACTTCGCTCTGGTTACCTGGATTTGACCTCGCTTGGAATTAGCGACCGTCTTGGATACCTTTGCTTTCGGACCGCGTCTGGAGACCTGCAAAGGGTCCGTCAAGAGCCCGGCGCTAACAGATGGGCTCTTGTCCACCCACAACCCTGATGCGGAAGCAGAGATGAGAAAACGCTGGGATAGATGATAGCTCTGATAGCCTTGCTGCCGTGTTTGACCTGATACAATGTACCACTTTGACGTATCCTGCACTGAGCTTGCTTGGCAAGGGCACCTCAACCTGCCATCTTTCTAGCCCTCTCCCCTGCAGGATTTTGAGACCAGCGGGTTTGCCGATTCAGTCTGACGATCCGGGAGGCGGGAACACTCCCGAAGCCGTAACGAAGTGTGCCGAGCGGGCTAGAAAGGGCGCGCGCTGAGCAGCCTGGGGCCAGAGGCATTGCGAGTGTCGGGGTGCGTCGCCGGGCTCTTACCTGACTCGCTCTGACCCCCGTTGAGCGACTCCCGGTCCCTGGAGCTCTCCCCTGCGCCGCTGCTGCTCACCTCGTCCCGGGGCTTGTCGTCCTTCATCTTCTTCCTGGTCATGTGACCGCGGAAGCTGGCCTGGATCTTGGCCGCGGCCTTGTTGGCCTCGGGGTCGTCCAGAGGGATGTCCATGATGTCCTCCTCCTGCTGCTTGGCGCAGTCCTCCTGTACGGCACACGCAGAACAGACAGAGCTCAGGCCACACGCGGTGCGGAGAGGGACCCCTGCTGGAGAATGGCGCGCGCTACTGTCAAAGCGAGCTGGAATTCGCGCCCGGTTAATGGTGGCGCAGTGGCAAGGAGCCTAGACTACTGCCACACAGCTCCATTGTGTGCTCGGCTACTCCCAAACATCCCTCAGGGAGATGGTGGGGCTGCCCAGGGAATTTCAGTCTTTTGCAGGGTCTGTTCACACTACAGAGAAATAGAAACAAATGACCCTGATGGACTCTTCTCATTTGTGGACCTTCTGATGTTTGTGGGGGGGAGATGATGAAGAGTCTTACAAAAACTCACTGCACTCTTATAAGGGCCAAACTTCTCAGCACGGACCTCAGAAAAACAGAGCAAATATTTTTGAAACGCTTAGAGATTGTTCACCTTTCTGCTCGGTAAAGCTTTCAAGTTATTATGCTTTTCAATTAGTTCATAAGACTCATCCATTATTCATACTGACATAAAGCCTGACTATTAACTTGCACTTGAACTACTCCAGACCTGTAGCATATCGGTGCCATTTGCATACTCTATACTGGTAGGAAATATTGTTAAGGATATACCTCTTGGATTCAGATGAAACGACCATCAAATGTACTGTGAGAGCCATTAACAAAGAAACATCCGGGAAGGAGTCTACAATTATTTCAGATCTTCAGCAACAGCAATGGTGTTAAAACTTGCCTCTGGGATGATTCTGCTGCTGTTAGTCCATGCTGTTGCCATGGAAATAACTTAGCATTGGCATTTCGAGATATATTCTTTCTAACTCACAAACCCATTACATACAATTAGCCTACAGTCACATCCTGATGTTGTTAATGGCATGGGGCTTTTCATATTTGCGAGGGCTTAAATTAGTAGTCTCACAATTGATTGGCAGATTAGTTAAGATTTCACGTAAAACATAAAATAGGAATTATCCTTATCTCTGAGGAAGAAAGAGCCAGCATGAGTTATGTTCCCTATGCATCCCGTCAATGCCCCCCAAAAAATACACAATGCAATAATTGCAATTTCTTGATCCCTGTTGAAAGTCATACTTAAGCAGTTGTACTGCTTAAATGCCTAAGAAACATGGTGGCTCATTTTCGTTCATCTATTCTGTGTGCTCTTTAGGGGTTGCATTTAAGTTCTGCTATTTCCAATGACAATATCTTTGCTGCGAGTCTTTTGAAAGACATTTTCCCTGTTGCTACACTACAGTGAAACGTGAGAGTGGAGTTTTCTTGTG